GCCTGATGATGGCGTGCCATGAGACCTCTTTTCATTATATATATATATATATTATATTATATAAACGGTATCTTCTTGGGCAGCTTGCTGTCATAATAGGCTTCGGATGTCAAGACAGCATCGCATAAAGGAAGTTGGATACCTGTCTGGAACCCTCCTGCGCAGGCTCCAAAAATGATTGTTTTTCGGGCAAGTTTACCAAAATTGCAACAAGGAGTTGGGAATAACATCCTTCATTCGTTTGGTCAGGGGTGCAGGGCTAAGCCTCAGCGCAGACTTGTGACAAGGAGTTGGGAATAACATCCTTCATTTGGTCAGGGCCACAAGCAGGCGTACGGGGCTAAACCTCTGTGTTGGCAGGGCGCGTGCCAAAAAAGAGAGAAGGAGCGCCAGCCGAATAGCACCACCCAGGCTGGTTGTTGACGGGGCCCTTGGGAACATGTTTTCTTGGCGCAAAGAATCATGTGACTCTCACTTCCGTCACTGGGGGTCTTTGGACGAGCAGTCTTGACACTTATGGAAGTTTGGGCGGCGGTCGCGCGCGGAGCGCATGCGGGACTCGTCCGTGATGCACCCAGCCCTCTCTCATTCATCACATCTGGCCTTGGAAGTCCGGTTTTCCACCTTCGGGCGCAGCTGATCTGGAAGGTGGGTTTGCGAGTCTGCCTTTTTTGGTCACTGCAGGGTGCCTTTGGATGAGCAGCCTTGAGCGGCGGTCAAGTAGGAGAGCTTGCTGGCATGGGAGGTTTCAGATGCCAAGACTGCTTGGCATGAAAAAAGCCGAAACCTTTCTGGGCAAACCCCGGGAAAATTTCGAAGCCAACACCTGGACCGGCTTCCGGCCGAGTGAACAGGGAGAAGAAGTAGAATGCCAGACCTGGCAGAAGATGCTTTTGGGGGGACCAGGTTGGGGCCTGATGATGGCACGCCATGAGACCTCTTTTCATTAAAAGCTTGCTGTCGTGATAGGCTTCAGATGTCAAGAAAGCATTGCACGCTCCAAAAATGATTTCTTCTTGCAAAGCTTGCTGTCGTGATAGGCTTCAGATGTCAAGACAGCATCGCATAAAAGAAGTTGGGTACCTGTCTGGAACCCTCCTGTGCAGGCTCCAAAAATGATTGTTTTCGGGCAAGTTTAGCGCAGACTTGTGACAAGGAGTTGGGAATAACATCCTTCATTCATTTGGTCAGGGCCACAAGCAGGGGTGCAGGGCTAAGCCTCTGTGTTGGCAGGGTGCATGCAAAAAAGAAAGAAGAAGCGCCAGCCGAATGGCGCCACCCAGGCCGGTTGTTGACATCAGGTGGAGCGACTCTCACTTCCGTCCATGGGTGCCTCTGGACGAGCGGTCTTGACACTTATGGGGTCGCGCGCAGAGCGCGCGCGGACCCGTCCGTGATCCACCCACTCTCTCATTCATTACATCTGGCGTTGGAATTCTGGTTTTCCACGGGATCTGGAAGCATTTTTTCGATTTTTTGTCATATTGACATGACATTGGTGAACCAGCCGTGGCATATATGAACAGGAATCCACCTCACCCTTCTGCAACTGGGATGGGAAGGGTATAGATCCAAGCCTAGGGGCTTTTGGCGGTTGTTGCATTGCTCGGATTGGCCAATGACGCCACTGGGCCGTGGCTGCCATGGCCCCGTGCGCTGGCCCCCCCAAAGCTTGGCTTGGCTGAGAAACCGTGCCCAGTCCAGCGAGCACGCGACCGCCGCCCAAACTTCCGTAAGTGTCAAGACTGCTCGTCCAAAGGCACCCGTGGACGCAAGTGCGAGTCGCTCTACATGATTCTTTGTGCCAAGAAAACATGTTCACAAGGGCCCCGTCAACAACCAGCCTGGGTGGTGCGATTCGGCTGGCGCTTCTTCTCTCTTTTTTGGCACGCGCCGTGCCAACACAGAGGTTTAGCCCCGTACCCCTGCTTGTGGCCCTGACCAGATGAATGATGTTATTTCCAACTCCTTGTCACAAGTCTGCGCTAAGCCTGCCCGAAAACCAATCATTTTCGGAGCCTGCGAAGGAGGGTTCCAACTTCTTTTACGCGATGCTGTCTTGACATCTGAAGCCTATCATGGCAGCAAGCTTTCCAAGTAGAAATCGTTTATATTACATATATATATATATAATGAAAAGAAGTCTCATGGCGTGCCATCATCAGGCCAACCTGGTCCCGGCCCCCCCAAAGCATCTTCTGCCAGGCCTGGCATTCTACTTGTTCTCGCTGTTCACTCGACCGGAAGCCGGTCCAGGTGCTGGCTTCAAAATATTTCCGGGGTTTGCCCTGAAAGGATTCGGCTTCTTTCATGCGAAGCAGTCTTGACGTTTGAAATTCCCATGCCAGCAAGCTTTGCTACTTGACCGCCACTCAAGTCTGCTCATCCAAAGGCACCCTTCAGTGACAAAAAAGGTCGACTCGTAAACCCACCTTCCAGATCAGCTGCACCCTTGAAGGTGGAAAACCGGACTTCCCAGGCCAGATGTAATGAATGAGAGAGGGCTGGGTGCATCACGGACGAGTCCCGCATGCGCTCCGCACGCGACCGCCGCCCAAACTTCCATAAGTGTCAAGACTGCTCGTCCAAAGACCCCCAGTGACGGAAGTGAGAGTCGCTCTACATGATTCTTTGTGCCAAGAAAACATGTTCACAAGGGCCCCGTCAACAACCAGCCTGGGTAGTGCTTCTCCTGCCTTTTTTGCATGCATCCTCCAACACAGAGGTTTAGCGCGACACCCCTGCTTGTGGCCCTGACCAAATGAATGAAGGATGTTATTCCCAACTCCTTGTCACAAGTCTGCGCTAAGCCTGCCCAAGAGCCTATCATTTTCGGAGCCTGCAAAGGAGGGTTCCAGAAAGGTATCCAACTTCTTTTATGCGATGCTGTCTTGACATCTGAAGCCTATCATGACAGCAAGCTTTCCAAGAAGAAACCGTTGATATAATATATATAATGAAAAGAGGTCTCATGGTACGCCATCATCAGGCCCCAACCTGGTGCCCCCCAAAGCGTCTTCTGCCAGGTCACCCGACCGGGAGCCGTCCAGACGTTGGCCTCAAAATTTTCGCTGGGTTTGTCGAGAAAGGTTTTGGCTTCTTTCACGCGAAGCAGCCTTGACATCTGAAACTTCCCACGACCGCAAGCTTTGCTACGTGACCGCCACTCAGTGACAAAAAGAGGCGGACTCGCAACCCCATCATTTTAATTGCACTCGCCAACGCCGGGCCTGGTCCTGAACTCTTGCTTCCGTTAGCTTCGTGGGACTGTTCGTCCTGATGCTATACGTCTGGCCGGCATCGCATTCCGAACTTCAAGAAATTTTGTAGTCTACAAAACAGGGTCACTCGGAAAGCTTTTCTACCTTAAAGTCTTGACATCTATTTGGCTTGTCCTCCTTCTTCTTTTTGCCACCGCCCTGCCAACACAGAGGTCTGGCCCAGGGGCCCTGCTATGTGGGCCAAACCAAATCTGAAAGATGTTGCTCTGAACCTCTTGTAGAAAGTCTGCGCTAAGCTGGCCCCAAAACAAACGTCTGTGGAGCCTGCAAAGGGGGTCGAAAAAGTTTTCGGCTTCTTTCGTGCTACTTAGTCATGACAACCACCAGCCCCTGGTATATGATTCGCCCGAATCATCTTCGCAATTCTGCGACTCGGAAGGGCATAGATCCAAGCCTAGAGCCTTTTGGTGTTTGTTGCGTTGCTCGGGTTGGCCAATGACGCCACTGGACCGTGGCTGTCAAGACAGCGCTGGATCATGAAAAAGGACAGCGCTGTGAGTTAGGTTTCCTTTGCGCGTTTCAGTTCCTGTCTGCTTCAAGGGTCTCATGGCGTGCCACCATCAGGCCCGAACCTGCTCCGTCAAGCCGGTATTTACTTCGATTTGGGCATTGGGATCCAAAAACCATGCGGCTTAAAGCGCCATGATTAAAAACTTGTGACGATCTTTCCAGATCCGCCCTTGAAGATGGAAAACCAGGCTTCCAATTCCAGATAAAACAAATAGAGGGCTGCATGGATCACCGATGGGCCCCGCACGCGCTCTGCACGCGACCGCCGCCCAAACCTCCATAAGTGTCAAGACTGCTCGTCCAAAGACATCCATAAACGAAAGTGAAAGTCGCTCTACATGATTCTTTGTGCCCAACTCACAAGGGCCCAGTCAACAACCAGCCTGGGTGGCGCTTTTCATCCTGCAAACACAGAGGTTTAGGCCAGCGACCCTGCTATTTGGTCCTGACCACATGAAAGATGTTGCTCCCAACTCCTTGTCGCAAGTCTGTCCTAAACTTGGCCGAAAAACAATCATTTTGGAGCCTACAAAGGGGGGTCCCAGAAAAGGTATCCAACTTTTTCTATTCGATGCTGTCTTGACATTTGAAGCCTATCACGACAGCCAATCCAAAACACCAAAGAAGAAATCTTACATATATATCTATATGTATATACATAGGTGTATTGTATATACAAATATTAATATTATATATTTATGATATATATATATATGTATATCACACAAAAAGCAGCGGTCTCATGGCATGCCACGGTCAGACCTACCGTGCCCCGTCTGGTGATCAGGCCAAATAATTGACAAATGGTTCACCCAATTAAGTGATTTCACCTGACCGTGCTCTTCCACTGCAATGAACCACTGAAATCTTGTTGCGCAAAGCATGTTGCGCTTCCACAGCTCTCATACCAAACACAGTCAGAGTGTAACCCACAGCGGAAAAAATGTCAAGACTGCCTGCCTGTTACACGTTCAATATTTCTACGATTACAGCATCAGGGGCATGTCAAGACAATGGTTTCCAGGCGATTACGTATTTTGCCCACTTGTCAAGACAGTTGTCCGGACGCATGTTTCTGGTAGTCCCCCAGGTGTCAAGACAATAGAATCCACTATATATATATATCCTTCCCTAGCCGTTCAGGACTTGATCGCAACCTTCTAGCCAAAGTTCGTAACTCAAGCGGCAAGAATGGAAGCAAGCACTGTCCTCTGATTTCGGTTCACGGTCATGCTGCCTGCGAAGGTATTAATTTAATACTGGAGTCATCACTGACCAACAAAATAGAATGTCATGCCTGTTTTCTGACATTGAAAGGCTCAGACCCCGTTTCGTTGGCTTTTGAAGCGTCCTTTTCTTCAAAGAAGTGGCACACGTCCCACCTTGTGGTAGGCACATCTTGGCTGCTCTGCCGCTTTTCGGAGCCTGCCCCTGGCGTGGAAGTGTCAAAAGAACGCAATTGTTCAAGAAGAATATAGAATAACTCCCGCTTCGTCGACAAAAAAGAAACCACAAGAGTTGAAAGTGGCTAAGACATGAATCGCTTCACTCCGATCAGCAAAGCACCTCTACCCCTGCGCTGCGAAGTTTCTCGACAGGTGCGTGGGGCCCTTGCAAAAGCTTGAAAAACCAAACCAGTTTAGACTCACCAAAGCAGATTCAGCGTTGCCTCACTTCTGGAGGTTTGAGAGCACTGGCCTCAAATCTTGGATCTTGACATCCTCAACTTCCCAAGACTTTCTACAACCTGAGCTTGGGGCCTCCTCGGGCCTCAGCATATGCACATTTGCCGATTGAACAAATTTGGAATGCCATCCGGGCTGCCATCCTGTGACTCAAAACCTATATTATGTCAAAAACAGGTCAAATGCGGACGTTTTAGTGGCTTCAGCACCCTTTTCAACCTTGAGCCAAAGATCAAGTAAGACGATTAGTTATCGTCACAGCTATGGCAAACTGAATTCCTACCAAGTGAAAACAGCAGGTTTATCTCCAAGTGATTCTCGTCCCCCCCTCAAACGACTGCTTTGGCGCAACGCCTCGTGCAAATGCAAACCCCCCAGCAGCCAGGCTTGCGTATGCACGCTTCTGTAGAGCAGACGATTGAGGAAGTTAAAAGGAACTACACAAGGGAGATACTAAGGTACAAAAATTAAAGTACAGGCTCAGAAAGCGCCGCTGCAAAGTGCCAGGCGCCGCAAGCAGACGAAGGCCGCAACCAACAAAGAACTTAAAGACAAGGAAGACGTCAACCAAACAATCCTCAGTTAGCCCGCGCAAGCGCTGGGTCAAACCTCTGGAAAACGGGTTTACTTTTTACGAAGTTTCGACACAAAGTTACGACTCTCGACCTTAGTACGGATCCTGAGTGCTGTCCTTAGTCGTCAGGTTTCCTTCGACAAGACAGGACACAGGCACACCATGATTGCATCCCGAGCCAAAAGAAATTTGGGTCTTGATAGCGCCTTGGTGAAGATGTCTCCTAGCAGTTCTCCCGTTGGGGTCAGCTCTACTTCTACCAAACCCATTTTGACACTTTCGGCCAAAGCGGCCACACTTATTCGATGAGTTCTGTTCAATGACCGCAATTTGATGGAATACCCATTACGGATAATCTGGCATACTGCCGAATTGTCCTCTTTCAGCACGGTTCGCACTTCTGTACCCAATACAAGCTCTAGTACTGATTTGACGGGAATACTGTCATCGAAGATCACGGTAGAAGCCGACACGATCTCTGCTTCCGTTGTAGAACGGCTTACACATGATTGCCTCTTTGCACTCCACATGACCGGGAACTTAGTTCCACTAGAATCGACAATGACCATATAATGTCCACTCTAACTCTTCATGGTACATGGGTCGCCTGCCAGGTCGGCGTCGGCGTAAAGCAACAGTGTGGGTATCTCAAGGCTTGATGACACAGTTCCAAGAAGTCCAAGTGTGGTGGTGCCCTTTACATAACCTAGCAACCGATACAACATAATATCGTGATTCCGTGACCACTTAGCAATGTTAGAAGCTAACGTGGTGATGGCGAATGAAATGTCCGGACGCGACAACCTTGAAAGCCATAGAAGCTTCATAAGTAGTTGCGCGGCATGTCCTGCCAGTTGTCCTGGTTGATCAAACCTATCAGCGGTCAGGGCCGCTTCTGTTAGGAAAGGTGTGTCGTATTGAGCTCTTTCTGAAACTGATCTTCGTACAACTTGTATGCTGTGATTGCATAATCGGTCATAGCCATGTGGACTTGCTTTCCACCATGGAAACTGAACACCATGTGATCCCGTCCCAGATAACGGCCGGGTTCTTCCACTGAATCCACTTGGATGTGATCAGCTAGCAACTCCCAGAAGAGATCAACTGATTGGGATTCTCCTGCGACCACAAGGTCGTCAACGTACGCGGCAACAAGAACCTCACATGATTTGATGTACCATAATGATGGCCACCCTTCAACTCTTTCCCCTTGAAGTTCGATTACCACAACACGATCCAAGTAGTCACCCCAGTCGTCCCCACTGGTTGGTGGCCGTACATGGCCTTCCTCAGTCTGGCTGCCACACGTCTGAATCGTCCTACCCAGTTGGGTTTCCAAGTTTCCCTAGGCAGAATTACGTACGTGGGTACCTCAGTTCCAAGCGGTGCTTGGAGATATGCCTTGCGAGCATCTGCGATGGTCACCTTGTGGTTGGGTCTTAACCCAAACCATAGTACCACATGAATGGTAGCCAATGTAGCCGGGATCGACTTCAGCTCTCTGAACAAAGCTAGTTGATTGTTTTGATCACGAGTGTCATCTCCTCTAAACAACAATCGAACCTTCAACTTAGATCGTTCTTTGCTCTCCGAGTTCTTGATATGTCCTATAACCATGATTTCTGCTACATGAATCAACCGATTGGAATCCCGAGCTTCTTTCTTTAGAACATCCACTTCATGAATGTCTTCGTCATCCCAAACGTCCATGCTACACATGGCTTCGGCTTCCTCCGCAATCTTTTGCTTTCCCTCTGGATGGGTAAACAATTGCTGTCTAGTCAACGGGGTGTGAACCATTCCGAGGACTTGTTGAGCCATCCACAAACACTTTTCCTGATGAGCAATGGTTCCATGAACAACAGGTAGAGTAGGGATATCCCGAAACGCAGCTTGGGGATTCAACGCAGAAAGTATTGCTATGGCCATTTTGTTGTTGTAGATTCCTGACATCTTCGCCATCCTTCCTCCTTCAATGGGATCGTGCTTGTGACCCGGAGGGTGAGCACAACGAAACTTGTCCAAATGAGATGCCAACCTTCGATTTGTTGTCACAACTCTCCATTCTTTCAAAGGATGCTTTCCATCGATTTCCAATCCCATTCCACAACCAGAAGGGAAGCAAGAAAACATGTTGAGGTCCATTATCATTTGAGCTACCTCATCCAAATGCCACCCTCCATTGTGAAGCGGCCATTCGAACGAAACCGAACCCCCCGATTTCACAGCAACCTTAGCCAATGATTTGAAGTTCTCGAGCAGGACTCTAGTTGCATTCCGCTTTTCGTTCAAAACCTGTTGAAAGTTTGGACCCTGAGTCGCCAGGTTGAGATTCTGCAGTGGTGAGTACGGTCCACACGGTATGGATCCCCATAAGTCAATGGATTCCCCTTTGGAACATGTTTCTTCGAACCAAAACAAGATTTGATCTATGATCTCAGGTTTGGTGAGGTCTCCAAAACTTTCAGTCAAACCTAAGTACGGAATCGAACATGCTTCCGCTACTCTGCAACATGCACTTCCTTCCGAGCAACAAAACTCCACAAACCATTTCTTCCCTGCTTGTTCTTTGGGGGTTTGGGTGTTGGTTTCGTTTGCATGAGCATGGCTAACTTACTAGTCAAGGATTCTTCATTCCCATGTCCTTCTTCGATTGCCTGCATGTAAATGGATGTGATGACCTCCTGACCTTGCTCCAAGTCACTTTGCCGGACTTCCCGCCCAGTAGCCGGAGTTGTCAAAGCAAACATGTCGACCCCCCCAACCGTGGCAGGTGCATCATTTTTGGCGGGCTTAGGCTCGGCCGTCTTCCGTCTTCTGACTGGTTCGCCTTCCAACAACTCATCAAACCGATCTCGACAAGCCTGAGTATGAGCCGTGGAAATCCCAGTCCTACATCCTTCACATCCCGGTGTTTTACCATAAGAAGCAATGCGAAGTTCTGTGATCTTTCTTCTTCTTATCTTGATCCCTTTGTCAGGTACACTACTGTCTTTCTCTTCTTCTCCAAACAAATCCTGCTCTTCTTCTACAATACCATCAAAGATAGGTTCATCTGCAGGGTTGTCTTCAAGGATAGAAGGTTCATATTCGAAGTCATCAGCAGGAGCGGTTTTATCCTTGGTCTTGGCTGGAAACCTCCAGTCACCAACAGGAATGGCAATAGACCTAGTGACTACTTCCTTACAAACTCCTTCCAGAAAAGCATCAAGTGGCCATACCCTGTAGCAACCCTTGAACAGCATCCCATCCGTCAGTTCAGCGCCCAGAAACAATGATGCCTCACCCTTGGGAGAGTACGTGGTCACGTCAGGATTCTTGTACCAGACCAAAGCGCCAAATGGAACCATGAAAGACTCAATAGGATAACCCATGGCAACCTCATACCTAGTGGGGGCCGGTCCGTCGCCATCCCATTCACCTACAGCGGGGGTTGAGACATTGAATGCCCACTCCAAGTACTTCTGAGCCAATGGCCAATACTGAGGTTCAATCCCTGCATGCAGCAAAATAGAAGTGGTCATTCCCTTGACATTTCTTACCATGGATTCGGCGATGGGGTTACGCAAACTCTGATTGGGTGCGGCAGGCTCCTTAGCAAATCCAAGGCTGTCCAATGCTTTGCGCAACTCTGGTGCACGATCCGACGCAACCTGAACCACTCCCGGACGTTTCTTACCAACCATTCTTCTCAACGCCGTCTCAACTTCTTCTGCTGATTTGGTCACGCAGAGGAAAAGAGAAACAAATCCTGAAAATTGGTCAACAATCACCAACGTATATTGCTCTCCTCTGTTGCCAATTTCATCCCTAGTCACTATGTGATCTATTGATAATTTCTCCAAGTAATGAGTTGGTTTCTCTTTCTCTCTTGCCTCTCGAAGTCTCTCATTCATGTTTTGATGTCTTCTGTGCTGAGCTTCCAATAGTTTCGCTTGTTGACATGTATCACAAGTTTTCGATTTGGGTAGGTGAGTCATCAAGTGATGAATCCCTGATTCGTTTTGTTCCCGTTCAAGCCCCTCTTCACCCTGGTCCCCACTGATTTCCTGGTGGTCCTCATCACCTCGGTCACCTCCGCCCGCGCCAGGCGCAGCGTCAGAGGGCAGCGGCAACGGAGACCCACCTTCTGGATGAGAACTACTGACCCCTTCCTCCGCTCCGCCAGCGCCAAGCGCATGGTCGGAATGCAACAAAGAAGAAGAATCAGCCATAGGATCACCCCCCCCAACAGGAACATCGGCGGCGGGTAAACCATGAGTGCATTCGATGGAGAGCCTGAAAATGGGAACATGGTGATCAACACGAACTGCTTCCACAACCTCCCCTTGGATGTCAATGGTGCAATGCGTGGCCGGTGGAACCAACATAGGTAATGAACTGGGTTCCCAAACAAATGTCCAACCGGATTCGGCGGAACACAGCTGACCAATTGACAACGCCAACGGACACTGGGGCAATAGGTAGGTTTGATGGAATCGATCAAATTCACGAGACCAAAAGCCGACTGTAGTACTTCCGGATTGGTGGCCCCCCCCGTCAAGAAATTGAGAGGTTTCGAACTTGTAGTTACAAAGTCCGATGGGAGGTTCAAACCCTGTCTCTTGAAAGCCTCAACGGAACCGAGGTTTTCCCCGGCACCCGTATCTCCAACAAACTCCAAGAATCCAGAGTGCGAGTCCGCTACAGCTGAAGTTGCCAGAATAGCAACAGCTGCAGCCACCGTAGCAGTGCCTGAAGGGCCGTTGGATGTTCCCTTCGGGGCCGCCGAGCAGTACTTGCATGTGAGTAAGGCCATGAATCACCCCTCATACACCTGCCTTTGGCATGATAGATGCATGGATAGTTAGACTTATCAGCGGGTGTCATGGGTTTGGTGGGTTTCCCACCGGTACTCGAAGTGCTGCCTGAACCTTTGGGCTTTTCCTTTCCGGAATCCTTCTTGTCTTTGCTTTCCCCTTTTCCTGCGCTTTTCCCGGTCCCTTTGTTGAGTTGCGTCGAAGAACTAGAACTTGCTGCTTGCTTGGGGTTCGCTTTGGGAGAACCTTTCTCCTTTCCTTTGGTGGCTGTCACCGCAGGAGTTTTCTTCACATGCGTCGGCCCCCGTTTCAAATCATCTCTTAATGACTGGGTATTGGTGTCATGTTGAGCCTCAAGCAAAGCTCGTTCGACCCCTTCCCATAGTGCATCAAATGATCGATTGGGTGAACCCATGGAAGAATCATAATACTTGTCCATAACCCTTCGCATGAGCGGATGGCGCTTGAGTGTGTTGAAGATCCACTGAGACATCAATTCCTCGTTGGGCCTTTGACCTACAGGGAGTTGACTCAAGATGTGCACTACCCGATCACGCCAATGTCTGAGGGCGGCTGCTGAATCCTGAGGCACCGGGAGTCGGAACAATTCCAATGACGAAGTGATTGCACCTGCTGCCACTGAAGTGTCAAATTCTCTCGAAACCAAATTCACTATGTAGCGACCTCTGACTTGTTGGGATGTCGACTCACACAGTTCGACGTAGGACTGAATTTTCAAACCAAATGAGGTCTTCAATGCTTCGGGCTTACACAACACTGACGCGATAACTCTATCCAATCGAGGAAAATCCCCTGACGAGGTTCTAAGCAATTCAGCTTGTTGACCCCGGGCTTGAAATGCTGGATTGAGCCAATCATTGAGTAACCCCTCTGGGCTATGATCATATGACAGCAACATGGTTCGAACAGCATTCTTCCACGATCGAAATTGAGACGCTGAATCCGGCAATGTCGGTAACTTCAAGTGATGGAGATCTTTGGTCCTGAGTGCTCTTCGTTCCACATCATCTGGTTCACCAACACTACTAGGACAACAAACACCGAAGAGATTGGGGTTCTCTTGATCATCATCTTCTTCCCCAACCGGCTGCATATGAAAACCTATTGGCATTCTGGTAGCGGGATCCTGATTATCCAACCTGACAACTGGCGTCGTGCTTCCTTCTTGCAACACTTGTGGTGCAGGAGCTTGCTGCATCCAAAGATCCTGGATATACTCTTGATGGGTATCCAATTTGGATTCAACTCTGGTAAGCTGCAATTCGAGGCCATCAAGTCGTTGGATGATCCCTTGCATCTCCGTTCCATTGAGGGATAAAAGGTTTTGTGTTTGGGTTTCTCTAGCTCTTTCTGTGTGTTCACTCTGTGCAATCGAAGCTTGCAACTGTCCTCGAACCCATTGATTCTCTCTGGTCACGTATTCCACTTGAGCCCTTAGTCTGCTAATCTCATTCATTGCCTCAGCCCTAGTTGATTCAGCATCAACCCTTGCTTGCGCAACAGCCTGAGCTGCTTCGACCTGTACCCCAGCCACGACTGAAGCTGCTTCGGCTCTCAACCCGGAGGTCGCTGCCGATGCCGCCAAGTCACCAATCATGTTAGGGTCTGGACCATGCACATGCTGCTGAAAATGAATGGACCTTTGATCTAAGTTCACTGTTCTCTGATCCTGATAAACTTGAGTAGATGATACCTCCCTAGTATCAACCATCACTTCATCATGATTCTCTTGGCGGTTCATCTGAACTGCATAGTTCCCTGGACCAAAAGAAACTGGATCATGAGATGTGGAGTTTCCCAATGGGTTTCTAGGCATGGGCAACAACGATGCTGACCCTCTCTCCAAACTATCCGGGGAAGCGGTCGGCCTTTCCATGTCCGTCAACATCCTTCCCCTTGGGGGTCGATGTGAAGGAGGATAAGGTGAGCTGGATTGCCTCTTCACCGGAGTGATGGATCGATTTCTGGGTCTTCGTGTCGAATCACTAGATTCCTCTATCTCGGTGCCGGCTGCTTGTGCAGGTATTCCGAAATTCTGGCTGGTGGATGAATTGGTTGAAGTCAAATGAAGACTGGATGAACTGGTTTCTTCTGCCATGCACTCCCCAACAACCTACTTGTGACCAAGTTTCCAAGAAGAAAACAACCGCTTTGGCCCCGTCAGCTGCTCCCGCGCAAGCGCAAGGGTAGACCAGCTGCGATCCTAATCAGTCGTGAAGATACCTGGCCAAGCAGGAAATTCCTTAGGGACCAGTCCACGACGTGTCACCTCTGCCAGGGCTTTCGTGAGGTCTTCCACCACCACACAACCAGGGGGCAAATGCCTTGGTGGATTTCTGCAAAGAAATGGATTCACAAGAATGGTATCCAATCCCCTTTCCGAAAGCTTCCAAGCGAGATCCAACCGATCGTCAATATGGATCGAGACACAGTTCTTGGATTCAGAAGTGGCTTAGCCTTGTCCGAGTCAATCAACAATCGCAACTGAGTGTGGTAATCACTGTTAAAGCGATGTACCACTGACACAGCCGATTGACGTCGAGCTTGAGAAGATGGTCCGGCACGGCCTATGTAAGAACAGATACCTGCCTGGCGGTAGCGGCTTTTGTGAAGCCAGTTACACAACGATGACCGGGCAGTACGTTCAAAACGACCCTCCGCTTCAGTGTTGAGATCCAGAACCCCGTGTAAATCCACACTGATTCGAATGAAGCAGTTGGCACTTGGCGCCGCTGTTCGTTCCACTGGAATGTGTGCAGCAGGTGACAAACCCACAACCGGATCCGAGATACGTGGCCTAGCTTTGGGGATGACAGCCTTGGGACTCACCGCAGAAACAGCCTTTGCAACAACCGGGGTAGCCTTTGGTTCCACAGGAGCAGCCTTAGCTTCTACCGTTGGTACGAGTTCCAAAGACACAGTAGGGCTTACCGGTTCCACAGCAACCGCCTTGGCCTTAGGGGATCTCTCACCCCTTGGCAGCTCCAATTGCCGCTTTGCTGGTGAAGCCTTCTTCTTAGAATCACTACTCGAACCTGCCTGTGGATTTTCAGACAACGCCGGTGCTACCAAGAACTGGGTGATGTCTCCAACAGAAGATGAATCAACTGTATCCACAACTGCCCTTGATGCACTCGATGCTGCAAGTTCCCCCCTAACCTTTTCCACTCGAGCCAGCGACGCTGACCCAGTGGGGGCTGACTTGGGATTGTGTCGACCCTCGAGGGTTTCCCTTGCTAAAGCCTCAGACTTTCTAGTCTTCTTACCCCCACGCTCTCCACGAGGCATACAAGGCTCTATCCAGAACGCAGGCCAGACCAGTCTGCGGCGCAAGCCGCAGTAGAGCTGCAACGGAGCAGCAGCGAGGCAGCTATGGCCAGATGAGACCACAAACCAAAACAAAGTAAACACACAAGAACCAAATACGGCTGATAACCACGTTTTAGTGGCTTCAGCACCCTTTTCAACCTTGAGCCAACGATCAAGTAAGACGATTAGTTATCGTCACAGCTATGGCAAACTGAATTCCTACCAAGTGAAAACAGCAGGTTTATCCCCAAGTGATTCTCGTTGCGGCTCTCGATATCTTCTCAGGCATCTCTGCTAGGCTCGCACGGAGCTTCAAGAGTGCCTCAAGTCAGCAAAGAACTCAATGGGTGTTCAGGGTCTTACACTTCTCCAACTTAGGCGCTGTGGTATTCAAACAGCTCAACCAAAAGAAGCTGAGACCTCTGGCGTCTTGCGCCAGGTGGCTGCAGCACTGCATCTTTGGAATGGAATATAAACCGTCCAAAGGAACCCCAACCCGCAAGATAATCGGCGCACAATGGCCACCAAAGGAAAATTACACACCAATGTCAGCAACAGTTCAGCTGTTTCTTGTTGTGTTTTGGAACGATCAATTGCTGACCAAGGCACCAAGACCTTGGGGATTTAGAGATGATCCAAAGGCCCTGTGCACATCGTTGTCATTATGTGCAAGGATGAAGTCTTTTCCCCAACCAGCCAAGGCCAAATGTGTTCTTTATTTGCTTCACATCAGCTGTAACAATCGTCCACAACACTCAAGCAGCCTCTGCGCGAAATGTGCAAAACAACAACTGATGCAGGGCCTTAGGTCCTTATGCGGCGCTGGCCGCAAGATCTTCTTCCTTAGGTCATGCTGCAAATCTGCCAATCCCTAGCTTCTCAATTTTCGGATTCTGTTGGTGGTTTCCTTTTCGGCTTCATGATTAGTCGGGATCTGAGGGCTTCACCAAACTCCTTGCGGTGCTAAATGCAAGCCGGTGCCAGTGACAACACTACCTTCGGAGGCCAGTTTTGCTTTTGATGCTTGGAGGACCATGGCAGATCAAGGGCAATGATTTGATGGCATAGTATTGCTTGGGTTGCATTAGGGGGGAATGGCATCATTGATTATGCTGCATCTCACACTCATTGAATCACTGATAATTTTGAAACACAAAATCCGGCACTGCTCACCTTGAAGCCCCCCCGGCGGCATGCTCCGGGGCGCAGCCAGGCCTCGCCTCGAAAACTTGAGCAACGCAGATCTGTTGTGTTAATCCACGCGTTTCTGGTCAAGCCTGTATGCAAAATGGATCATTGCTGCCGAAACCAAATGAATAAACTTATAGTTCCGTTTTGAAAGGTATACAGTGCCTTTTCCGTAGCTGAGGACTTTCTTGGACATCACAGAGCTCCAAAGGCTGAGCTTCTTACCATGAGACATGGCGAGAAGCTAAGGCTCAACGCTTTGAACCAGGTCAAAAAGGATGGCAAGAGCTGAGATTAAAGCAAGGCAACATACAAAAATCCAGGATGATGTTGTTCATTGTTGTTCAAAGAGCTTTTCGGAAGTGCCGCACGAAACGAGTACAACAAGTCACTACGAGAGGCGTCTCTTTTTCTCGCCATATTGAAGGTTGTCGGGCTTAGAAGGAAGGGAGGCAGTCTACTAAGTGGTGCACACACTTGGACTTCTGAACCCACTCTTATATTCCACCAGATGTTTTTCCCTTACTGGCTATAGCTTCCCACAACACTTGCACCACGATGCCGTCCAGTCTTACAAGATGTGATCATATGGACGCCAGGCACATGAGGATGTGTCAGGCACCAAGAATCAAATCTCTGTCTCATCGAAATGCGGTTCCCTTCAGAAACATTCGAAGCATGTCTGCTGGCTTTAAGGTTTCGCATGTCTGCTTTGCGTTTCTCAAGTTGAAAGTCGCACTGCAAAAAAGCAATTGTGACTTATGGCTGGGCAAGTGGGCAAGTGGATTACTGGCATGACACTACAAATTGAACTGAAGGTGGATAAAATGCATTGCTTGGTCCGCAGTCACAAGCTGACATCATGTGCTGAGAAATAAGAAAGCCGAAACATACTCAATCAAACCTCGTGCAACATAAGGCCCATGCCCATTGTGAATGCACCTACATGGGCTCTGACCGCAAACCAAGAAATGCTGTTGAAGGAAGAGATGATGCACCAGCTGACTTATGAAAGATTAGGAGGCGTCAATATTAGAGGCAACCACGATTCAAGATTTATCTTGAACGGCTTGCAAACAGAAGCTACGACCGAAGCACGCCAGGACCGTCCACTGCGCTCCTTGTTCCGAGTCAGCACAACACATCGGAAGTTCAGCTTAAAGTTGTCGGCTTGTCTAGGAAGCAGCCATGGCCCAAACCATGTGAGGTCAAAGGCCCTACACCACAAAGAATCTACTGCGTGGAAGTTCCCGTGTGTGAGGCCGAATAAGACAGCCAGCCATGCCTCTGCGAAGCTGCGATGTCAAGAATTGAAAGTCAAAATTGTTTGACGTGCAATGAAAACGCTTGAAGCGCAACATGGGAAGGGCATCGGCAGAGACCCAGAATCGCAAGGGTGAACCACCTGGGCTCAGCACAGGCCTTCAAACAGCACACAACATCTTGAAAGGGTCTTAAGCATGCGGCTTGGAAAGGAAGACCTGGTGAGCACCACTCAAGACGCGCGTTGACCTAAAGCGTGCAGCTGCATGTGGCGTCCAATGTCCAGCTCGCCCCTGTCCTGTAGAGTGGTGGAAGCGCTAGAAGAGGTGTGGCTGTTGTGGCTGTTAGTGTGGGATCAGAAAACGCCAAATGCGCAATTTGTGTAACAATCAACAGCCATCCTATACAGCTCCTTCTAAGGCTGGGGCCAGTGGCCTTTCTTGCCGTTCTATTGGGATGCGCGCGCAAAGTTCCCAAATCTGTTACACTGCTTGGGACAAACATGATGTTCCAACGCTTGCCAAGCCAAAATGGCCTAGTCTTGCGAGGTGAGGCCCTGGTGCATAGCACCATAAGGACGCTTGGCAAAAACAGGTGGATTATACTGGATCCCTTTTTCTCTCAAGAGCGGTCTGACACTCAGGTCAAAACTGTCGCCATGCAGTATTTTCAGGACGTAGTCGCAACCAACAGTTTTCGAGATAACTGCGGGGATGCGTTCACGATGACGATGCCGCTTCTTGCGCGAGAAGCAGAACAAAACGATGCAAGACTCTTCGCAGGCACAGCTGCAATCAAGACAAGCTTCAGGACTTCAGGACAAGCCCAGATTTTGCACAACATGGTCAGCTGGGTAAGCTGCTGCACCTTGGGAGAAGTCTCTGCCTTTGAGAGAACAATTCGCCAAGAATATGCAAGCACAAACACAAAACAAGCAAGGACATGTATTAATGATCATGCTCTTTTATTTACGGCGTGCTCAAAACTTTACACTTGGCCGATGCAGACTGCAGAACGACCTGTGAGCACAAAGACCCTTCAAATTCGAAAAACGCAAGAGGGTCAAGGTGTGTATATAATCTAGTTCAAGAAAGCCCATCGGTTCCGCCCAGCTTATTCAAGAAAGCAAAACAAATGGCGCCCAGAAATCCACAAGCCCTCATCCTTGCAAGGCATCGACTTAATGGCGATCACCAAAGAGCTACCCAACGCAGATCGTCTTTGCCGGCTTTTGCAAGCGAAAAACCAGAAGCAATGCCGTGGGCGTTAGCCTCGTCCTCTCCCTGCTTGGCATCAATGCCACGACAATGGTGTGCGCATATGACAAGCTGCCTGAACTGCCAGCCCAACATGTGTCCGAAGCTTCCAAAGTGTTGCGACACACAGATTTTTGCGCGTCAACGATGCTCCTTAAATCCTAATCGTTTACAGTACTTTACCTGGAGAAAGAAATATCAATAGCATCAGATAGACAGCGAATTTATAAGCATCCCGGGCGGATGTCTATCGTCTAACTTCCACAGAGGACCGGGATCGAATTGGCCCTCTCATGAGGCGAGAACGAACGCAAACGGTGGAAAGTATGGGCCACGCACCTGCAACCCGGCCAAATAGCTGGTCAGGGAAATACTTTTTGCCTTGGCAATGTGAAATGGGTGCCACTGGTACGCTTAAAACAGACACCTGCCAAGAACACTCAGTTTGCATTGTCCGCTTAGCCAACAAACGCAAACCTGGACAACTGTTTCTCCGGAAGAATACAACTGGAGCAATGACCCTGCGCTCACTGGGGGTGGATGTGCTTCTTGTTAACACGAAGCTCAGCCCTCGCTTGCAATACTAGTTAACTAGTTACTAGGCAGTGAATTGGAGAAAAGGAAGATGTATCTTCGAAGTGGCTGAGTCCCACTAACAGTGAGCACAATCGATGAGCACAAAAGCAGCACCAGGAAAATTGAAAAAAAAAACTCTGGGTCCAATCAAATCTCCCATGCACTGCAAAGACTCTCCTGCTTTCATTTTGAAATGTGGGGCTGGTCCCTGGGCTGGTGGCTCTGATTCTCGATTTCGTCAAATCTGGTGCTAGAATTCGTCAAATCCGGTGCTCGATTTCGTCAAATCTGGTGCTAGAATTCTTCAAATCTGGTGCTCGATTTCGCAAAACCTGCTGATTTTCTGGAAATTCTGCCCAGGGCGGAGACACAATCCAACTCAAACTCAAAAATCACTTACTGCCTGGTGCTCGAATTCGTCAAATCTGGTGCTCGAATTCGTCGAATCTGGTGCTCAAATTCGTCGAATCTGGTGCTCAAATTCGTCAAATCTGGTGCTCGAATTCGTCAAATCTGGTGCTCGAATTCGTCAAATCTGGTGCTCGATTTCGTCAAATCTGGTGCTCGATTTCGCCAAATCTGGTGCTAGAATTCGTCAAACCTGGTGCTCAATTTCGTCAAATCTGGTGATTCTTGTGGTGGTCCTTGGTGGTGCTCGATTTCGTGAAATCTGGTGCTAGAATTCGTCAAATCTGGTGCTCGATTTCGTCAAATCTGGTGCTCAATTTCGTCAAACCTGGTGCTTCTTGTGGTGGTCCTTGGTGGTGCTCGATTTCGTCAAATCTGGTGCTAGAATTCGTCAAATCTGGTGCTCGATTTCGTCCAATCTGGTGCTCGATTTCGCCAAATCTGGTGCTAGAATTCATCAAATCTGGTGCTCGATTTCGCCTAATCTGGTGCTCAATTTCTCTGGCTGGTGCTCGATTTCGCAAAGCCCAGTGGTCGGGCTGGTGCCAGAGCCGGCAAAGCGGAGACACACGCGCGCAAAAATTGTGCTCTGGCTGGTGCTTGAATTCGTCAAATCTGGTGCTCGATTTCGCCAAATCTGGTGCTAGAATTCGTCTAATCTGGTGCTCGAATTCGGCAAATCTGGTGCTCGAATTCGTCAAATCTGGTGCTCGAATTCGTCAAATCACCCCACCATGACCTTTGACAGTGGTGGACAAGCAAGACAAGCATTCACCATCTTATATCATTTGCAAGGCACACACACACATACACACCTTACAGAAGGGCACTGGGTATGGGGCAGGGGATGGGTGAAGTGAGGTATGATTCTGATCATGGTGAGATCTAAGTTTTCAATCTGGGTCAACCCCAGCAATTCATTGACCAAAATGTCCCAAAACCAAGAGCCATTTCCAGCAATTCGCTGGTGCTCGTTTTCATGAACACACTTAATAAAAATCCCTTGTTGAACTGTTACTGGGACTCAGCCCCATCTAAGATGTATCACGAAAGCAGCCTGCCAAGAAGCTTGGGGCGATGCTCACACTTCAACAAAATTTCACCAAAAAACACACTCCCTGTCAATTACAACTTCGATTGCCACAGCTGCTCGGCGGTTGAATCAGCACCCCGCAATCGCAGGAAACTAACAAAGCAAACGGGCTGATGAGCTCCAAGTCTTCCGGCAGGTTGGGCCTTTGCATCAAACCCCTGCAACTTCATTACACGTTTGCCCCAACATGTGGCTTCGAAGGGGAAATCTGAGGAATTCTTGCTTCATTGTTGCTGCCGCAGGCATGTCAGCAGGTGCCAGAGCGGCTCAACAATCCATCTCCCAAGCGCCTTCTCCTTCTCCCAGCTCCTCATCAACTGCATCGCTGGAAATGAACCCGGGCAAAACCTGAGACCTCACGCTTTAACTGGGCCCACAATGAGAACCTCTCAACCCAGATCAAAGCGCTGC